GGTACTATAATCACTCTATATCACTCAGGATCAGGCTTAGGTGCGATGACCGATGTTCATTATCAGTCATTATTCTCCTGGAAAACAAAACGATTTTCACTCTGTGGGTTCGTATCACATGTCATAATGACTCAACTCCAGTAACCACATTGTTGTAAACGTTGACAAGTAAAGTGGTCTCGGTATTACGGATTGGAAAGAGGCTGTACGTGAGAAAAATGCGTCCCAGGTTGGCATACCCATAATTAGCATTTGCATCAATCATTCTCTGCTTAAGAAACCTCATTGATGTGAAAGTTTCCAACGTAGTCATTACCCCGGAGGCTAGTGCTGTAATGAGCGAGGTCTGTGGACTGTAACAAGTTCGCAAAGATGGGTTGTGCTTTATCGTGTAAGTGGAATATGAAAAACCGTCTGATCAACTGCCCGGTGGTCGAGTGGGTAGCATGCTTGCGTTCTGCCCATGAGGTCCCAGGTTCGATCCCCAGTTGGGTCGATGGATTCGCACTGCTGATGAGGCCCAACCAGGTCGAAACAGCTGTCCAGTGCTTCCTAGCTTTTCAGTTCATGCTTCATTTGCTATATATATATATATATATATACAATGAATTTCCCCTTTGAAATTCATAACCTTTCCGACTAAGATGAATGACACACTTAATACATTTTTTGTAAACAACCTTACCTGTTTTTTTCCAGCTTTCTGTTGTTCTCCTGTTGGATCCTCTTATCATGTTAATGTTAAGATTATTCGTGTTCCCGAATCATTTTTACCCGTAGCCAAGGTCATAAGTTACAAAAGTAACTTCATCCCGAGAATCCAGTGGGAATGTTACGAAATACTGATCCGCGTTTTATACCCCCGGATCTATCTAATTCCTGCCGGCTCAGATAGAACACTACTGGATCAACCCCTTATCATTATGGTCAGTCAATTGATGATACGTTACCGACACGTGGTTGAATTCGTTTACCAGACTTTGACCTCCAAATCGACCGGTTAGCCATTTTTCACTAAGTGGTCAACTGGGTTGACGACATGCACGCGAAAAACAGAACCTAGTCTGGCATCAGACGTCTGATTCAATAAATTAGATCGAAACAGACACTGCAAACACCCCGTTTCGTTCATTGTACTTGTTCAATATGATCTGTCTGGCGGTATTCTACACGTGTGTCACGCAACGGAACGAGGTAGGTCTGGTCCATATTGAACGAGTGACATCTGGGGCGTGCAAAGATTGATTGACCGTAATAGAAGCGTTGATTGATTATTGTTTATGGGCCAATTCCTCAAACCACCGATCTGCCCCACCCCCTGTCCCAGAAATCGATTGTGTGACAGGTCGGCACGGACGGAGGGAGGAAAGTGTAACCGTACGAAACGAGAGTCACTTCATAAGACTAATAGTTCATCACACCAACTTTTAAAGCAATCCCATTCTGGAACAGGGAACGTAGAACTCCCAGTGAAATAAATTGAACTGGCCTCTCATCCACATGTTGTACAATGTTATTGATTCCAGTTCAGAGTTAGTTCTTGATTTTTCTCCATTGTATTGTCATATTCAATACAATTTTCAGGAAGAGAAAGACAATCAATCATAGGATTGTTCTGGTACAAAGTAGAGGGCTAAATGAGGTGGCGATGAAGTTCGAACTCACGACCCCCGGAGTGATTGGTCGGTAACCCTCCCCGCTTGACCAACTAAATAAAATCACCACAATTTCGGTGTAGAAAAATTGGGACACCCGATGTTCGTAGTCGGTGTGTGTTACCAATGATTGCCACGTCGATTGCAACACCGTCAGGGGATAACCACAAACAGGACGTGAAAGGATTGGTGGCTTTCAGTCACTCTTAGCTTACCTAAGTCACCGAGTTCTACTCTGGNCTACTCTGGTAAATACCATTGCACAGATATGATCGGTTTGAAGTTGGCCACGGCGAGAAAAACCAAATCATGAGATTTAATAATTACGTTTGATCGTTCTTGGAAAGTTAATTATTGCGTCATTGTTGGAACTGCTGGGCAATCTACATAATTGGAGTTCTTGTCGGGACTTGAACTGTGAACACTGAGTGACGCGTTCGACGTTCGGTGATTGATAGAATTGAGTTAGAATGATGCGTTTGAATGAATCTATTCGATTTTCACACTCACCAAGCACCGTCAAAATTGAGTAGGCTCATCGAAATACAACATTCAACTTAACTTAGTGCATCTTGAACATACATTTTCGACCAGTATATCTTCAAACCAGTATGTTTCGTATCTACGGGCTAATGAACGCCCTAACTAGGTCAATTTGACATTCGTGGATCGTGTGTTAGGACTATGGTTATACTCTGACCGTTAACTGGATTAACTCGTCAACTTCATGGATGAATCTGTGCAGGTACTTTCTAGCGCAGCATTCAAACTGAAGTTCACGCTTACCCAGGCATATGTTACAGTGTCCCCGGTCATGTGTAAAACGAAGCCAATTTCGGTCTGTGTACTCCAGATCATGGGAAACAGCATATTGAATCGTTTTCTTATTAATTAACACCCTTTTTATTAGGCCCGTGTTTGCCACAGATTACGTCCCTCCGTCGCTCGTAATTGTTTGCGAGATTCAGTCAAAATAGTGAAGCCGCCCTAATCAGGTAACTCGAAAATCTCGTTGAATGACGGTAGGCAAATCCCTTTCTTCAGGGTCTGTGAAGCGGTGAAAAGCTCTTCACTACTGTTTTTTCTCCCTCCTTCCCGAGCTTCTTTTTGAATGATCCCGGCTCCCAAGCGAACGATCCTCACCATTTTTGAAAATATAGACAAAAACCGACTGGAAGAGAGGGAAACAATTTTTCATCCAATCATCTCTAATACAAAACCACAAAAGTATTCCAACCATTGAAATCCCTTTAATATCTGATACAGCGACCACTTCGTTTCATGATTTTGTCGCGCTTTCTGGTCATACACAGTAGAGGACCTCGAATAACAACGATTTCGATAGTAGTCAGGGTGGTTTCTACACCTTTTCAACATTAAGTTAACTCGCTGTAACTTAAGGTAAATCCACCAATTGTACTCTGACGGACATTCCGCGAAAGGACTGATACTCAAATCGGCAAGCTATTCAACGAGTCTGGCCTATCACAAAGCTNAAGAGGAAATGAACGAAGTGAAGTGCAGACTGCATCAAGTATCTAACCCTAGACACTGTCCGCCTGTATTGCTTGCGCAACACACCATTATATTTTCGGAGCTTCAATGCTACGTATATTTTAAACCCCTTATCTCCTTCAATTTCCAGTCTATCTAGATGCCTTTCTCACAGAACTAGCTACCACTAAAACCTATCATACGGTCAACTTCTCTCGGGTCATGGAGCCTAATCACATTTAAAGACAAACAATACATGCCTAATACAATGGACGTACACGCATTTACAGTTGTTCTCGGGAAATTCTACTGTTGTGGAAAAGGACGATGCACCCAAACGGTCTTCATTCAATTGAAATGCATTCGGGAACATATATTTCAGAATAGGGACCGTTTATGGCTGTGTATACCTGACGACCACAGCAGCAATCGCAACCGGTTTTGTGGTCCTACGGATATCTTGACCCGATCGTTCACAGAATACTGATTGTGCAACTAACAAAATCGGGCAGGGTTGTCAGGATAATTCACATCCCGTGATCAAAAGCAAATGACAATAATCGATGTGATGACTCATATGTGCACTCTCAAGGCGCACCAAACCAAGGAATAACCCCTGCAGATGCTAATCGGAGTCTACTCTGTTCAAGACAGACAACAGACCATTCCAACCCGCCCTCTACGTACGAAGAATTAGATAGTGGTAAATACGAGTGCTTTGGTCCAATTACCCGATACACAAAACTTACTCTGCCTCATCTGACAGGGTTGATTAATATTGATTGGCTTTTACAAAAAACAATATCGCTCGCCACCGGAATCATAGTCCACTGGAATTAGTAATAACTGATTCGTACCCAAACAGGACTAAAATAGAAAAACATGCTGTCATTCTCCCGTACATCACTTGGCACGAAACTCAACATGACATGATCGTAAGGAGTTCGAACTACACAATCCTCAACCGAATTGGATGGCAGACTCACTAGGNCACTAGGTTTAATGAGCCCCCCCCCCCAGCCAGTTCCGCCTACTGTGGATCGCCACTGCCGGTCCAGTGCTTCGAACTACCAGTTTTCATAGCCGAACTTCAGGAAACCGAGGCCCGTCCGGTATAGTATGGGTGATAACGAAGCAAAATTCTGTTGCTAACACACCAAGGCAGTCACAAACTCACGGCCCCGCTAAAGATCGACATCAATATGCCACTTGATAGATTTTAACTAAACGATACGGCTGATCATAAATCACATCACCGCTCAAATCTCTGAAATACACAATCTGAAACAACACTGGTAACCCAGGAGGCAGCAACACGGAAGACCACTACCGAGACACAGCTACATGATCCTAATTCCCTTTGACTAAATACGAAAAGCACGAAATTGAGTACAGTCGAAACAAAATTATTCATTCAAGTTGGTCTGACAAATGTGACCCACGAACAAAGCAGCGGAAATGTTGCGCAGCGTAAGGAGTGAGAAGAAATCGGCTGGATGAAAAAAACGCAAAAGGCAAAAATTGCTCGGCAATCTGACTTCAGAAATAGTAGGCGCAAAGGAGAAAGGCAGATGAGGTATCTGTATGAACAGTTCAAGGGTACCATGTGACAGTTAGTTATGTCGTCATACGGAGACAAAATACACAGGAAGTGCGAATCATTCGGATATGATTCTATCATCAAATATGTGCAATACATTCATTCACTCATTGAGCATGACATGAGAACGCCAACGAATTTCAATGGAATTGTGCACAGGACTCTTGACTCGATATCAAAAAGTTTAGTTGGAGACCGCGACGAGAATAAGAACTTTACATACCAGTTTGTTGTCGTAGCAGCAGCGGTGATCAGAATGTGTCCGTGATGTGTCGTCGCCCACCGAACGTGATACCTGAGGCGTTTGCCCCGGCTGTACTACCCATCTGGAGACCGATAATCCGTTCGCCGGATTTCAGTTGCTCCTCGGAAAAATCCCGACGATTTTCACGGTGTTTTTGCATCCAGTAGCCTTGAGGCACATTACACTCCGGTTTCGCCTGGGCCTCCACTCCAATCTGGCTTAGACAGATCACAACCTGGGTGAGATTTGTGTTCTCATATAATTGATCTGTTTGGAACTGGAAGGTAGACTCCACACCAAAGGTACCAGCAAATCGGAGGAACAGACCAATTCGGTCCCGGCGACGATTTGTCTCAAAAATAGGTTTGTCAGATACTTGCCACGTTTGTACTTTCACCATCTGAGCAACAGCGGGGGGGTCCAAACACGCCATCATGTAGCCAAGAACAAGACCGTCACGTAGCAGGTCAGAAAATTCTTGCATGTTAGTCTTCTCTACGGTTGCAGGAATTTTGTTTCTCGCTTCTATGAAGTGACTTGGGCAATCTGGGGGTGGTGTCAGAAGACAGATCCACCGAAGCACTTTCGCCGCCTCAACTCCGTCAAACTTCTCCTCGAGTTTCTGCTGTACTTCCCGAGCGAATCCAGATTTGTCAGCCCGAAGTGCTGCTGCCATCGCGATGTGACCACGGACGTAAAGTATGCGTTCAGAACCGCTTGACGGACCAGCTCAGGTTTTATTCCACTAGAGATGCTAATCTCCCTCCTACGCAGGATAAAACACAACGTACGCATGCAGTGTAGGTGACAGACACATTCAGCGGACGTGAATCTCAAGGCCCTTGTCAAGGACGAATTCTAATTGGCCAATTGAATTAGTATGCTGACCATTGTTGACTTGTCTGTCTAGCCACCGATCACTTACTCGATGCATGGCCAAATGGGGTTAACGTGGTGAGTTCACATTCCCACAAAGCAGGCTGCACGTGACGTGTGTTGTGTGTGTATGTATATGTGTGAATCATAAGTGCAAATTCCCTCGGTCGCATATGCACGCCGGCATCACCATTAGAGCACAAACGGAGGCTGTCACCTGTGCGTGAACGGATGGAAGGTCTTGGAATTCACATCGAGGATTAAGACCGAAGGGGGTGACGTTTGTCGAAACCAGTCCTTCATGGTCGGGTAAATTGGGGTGGTATGTTATAGACAAATGATCTCGACTTTCGGATACTCAGAAGTGAATAGGACAAAAATTATTCGGTGACTATCGGTGGATAATTTTCAACCATATGAAACTTTCCCGTGTATATAGCCGATATAAACCTAAACCTTTATTTCAATAATAAATGTTTATGCCCCTTCATAATGTGGACAGAACTGATAATGGACGTAGACACTGTTCAGGCTCGATTTAAAAATTGGAAAAGACTAGAAACGCCAAAACAATCAATGTGATGGGACACTGAAACATGGTAACTGCTATCGATACATGTTCAATGCTTGAATTATTACCTCCATCCGAATAAAGCAAGCTCGCAGCGGATGGATTGGTCGTACAGTTTAATAAACGATTGCGGTCTGCTATGCTGATGCATTAAATCACCTATTCGACAGATCAATTAAGACAAGCTTCAGTTCAGTTCGCACAGAAAAAGACCACGACCAATCGAGCGTCTAGAATTCCTTCAGTGGTATGCAATCAAGTTAAACTGATCCCATAGCAGCTATTCACATCCATAGGAAGTTATTCTGATTCTATGTGAAACGAAATCTAGACCAATTAAATGTGCCGTGGACTTTGAGAGTGTGAATTGTGCATTTATACATCCGAGTATTGATCCTCTTGTCTCATAGATTCCGGAAGATGCTGCTAATATAACTCCATTCTACAGAGAATAGGTGTTTAAACTAGTCGTACAACTAAATCGTTCCACTAGCATCGGTCCCGATGGTCCATTATCATCCTTTCTAAAGTATGGTGCCTTCGTTCTAGCAGACACCTTTACTTCTCTAATCAATACATCATTTAGCACTTATTCTATCCCCAATTGCTGGAGATCCGTCACGATTGTTTGCATTCCAAAACCGTGTATATCCAAACGTTTCAATCCCATTGCTCTAATATCGTGCCATCCTGAAACGTTTGTTTGCTTCTTTTACTACCTCCGAATACCCTCTCCAGTTTGTGTATAAATCGAACAGGTCCACTTTGGATGCTGTCACTTCCGTTGTTCACGGAAGCGCTTTCAGGTCACCCAATTAACGGACACGTTCTTAGCGCTCGTGGAGCTTACGATTAACGGTACCAACTACTGCGTACAGTGTTATTGTGCAACTGGTTTAATTCGAGAAAGTTAATTACTTCCGTATAAGTTGGATGCTGTCACCTCCCTTGTTCAATACGTGATCAAATCCCGTGAAATTGTTAAGATCCGTTTTCTTATGTTTTTCATCAACCTTGGACTCTGTTCCACGTTCCCCCCTCCATCGTAAAATGGAATCATTCGGCTGTCCCAAGCACCTACTAGTGTGATTCGTTCATACTTCATAAACAGAATTCAGCACACACGACTGGGTGCGAGAACATCTAAACCGCTCGTAAACAATTCGGGATTGTTCCAGGGAACGGTACTTTCTCGGTTCTTGTTTTCCGCCTTCATCAGTGACCTGTCGGTGAGTTCTCCAACCCAATTACGCTGACGACGTAGCCCTTTGCCAAACCATTTCTGTGTCTGAGGACCTTCTAAATTTCTCCAGCAATCTGTCACATATCCAAGAAATTTCTCGTTCGTTCGGGTCTGTCTCTTGATTTATCACAGAGAAACTTTCTCTCGATCTGTTTCTTCCCGCGATCACTCGGCGTATTCACAAATCCTGACTAGAGAATATTTTGTGAAGCACAGTCAATCTCCCGTTATGTCGCACCCCTGAGAAATCGTATTTCCAATATCTTCCCACGTTTTGGAAAACCTAATAATAATAATAACGTAGTTTCTAACCATGCAATATCGCTCCTCTCTATATGTCGCAGTTCCTGATACGTACTCACTTAGTCGTTGATCGATGTTCCGGACGCCTATTGAGCTGTCAACCTGCAATGTCGCACTCAGCCAATGGCGCGAAATTGACACTGTTCATTGATTGGATAATCTTTGCGAGGAAGACTCACCGATGTCAACAATCGAAGACAACATCAATTGACTCCAAAATGTGTCAGCGGCTATCGATTAGAATGTATTGGAAACGGTGAATCATACAAGTGCAACTCACAGCTCTGAAACCGAATCACTTAGTGTTTTAAGAAAAACTGTTCACAGTGTTATATCCCATCGAAACACCCCATGGCCTAGAGCAGCAGTTGCAAGAAGACAATCCAGCTAACACAAAGAATGCATCATCATGACTTCAAGGATTCCAAAATTTGAATTTGCTCTCGGTTAGACAAGTAACTACTCATTAATTTATAATCTTTTGGGGAAAGTTTGGCGGTACCATGTGATGCAATGGACTACTTTCGAGCGGGATTACCGCAGTTGAACCATGGATACGCTGACTGTGATATTTTCAACACAGATGAAACAGCTTTGTATAACAAACAGCACCCAGAAAGAACATCAAACATTAGCATGAAATCCGAAGTGGACATCTTCATGGGCATGCATCTGGGTATCTGTGCATCCGCACGTATTGATCAACGCCTTATGAAAGCTGGGTTCAAACCAACATTGAATCAGTCGATGATGTCGCCACCAGAAGATAAAAGCGATCTGATTGATGACTTTACTCACTGTGTCTTGATGAACGCCTTTCTGAAGAAGAAGTTGCCTGTTTAGAATTTCATGATGAAGCTTTCTAAATTTTTTCAAAATTTTTTCACAAAACTCCCACCCGATTTTTCATACTACTTAGTAACATATACCACTGACTAACATACTATGTCGCAGTTCCTGGAATTTACCCACTTTTTCGAATTCCCGAGGGGTGCGACATA